ATAAATAAATTCAATACTTTCCATATACATTCTTATGTATGCGTGATGTCAAGTTCGTTCATGATATCACATCAAGGTCCTACATCTGAAACTCAGATGTAGGAACTTGTGTATATACATCTTCATTCAGATGGTATTCGATGTTGTGTGCTCATACCTATATTCATGTATAGGTGCTTTCATGTCACACCAAACCATAAATTTTCCAATCGAGCATTAACTGAAGAATGCTCGTGAGGTCTTACACAGGGATAGTATATTCCACATTCTATAGCGTAATTTATTAGATTGGCGTTGAAGCCATTTAATATTAGCATGCTTAATACACTTCTCGAGTCTGACTTTCACCCAGGAGTTTTTTGAAATAAGTTTTAATAATTTGATCTATCTACAAAATTCTTTGGCTTACTAGTGTCCGCGAAAATTTCGCTTACTTTAAAAAACCCTTATAAGTCCCCTTGACCAGCACTTGGTATGTTTCAGTGACAAATGAGCCCTAGCAAAGAAGTGTGGCATCCATAGGATACCTTTGGCAATTTGATATTGTTCCGGCCTCCCGTTTCGGGCTGTTCCCTTGAATCTATAATATTCGGCGTTAGTGTACGAGTGTTTAATGAATGCAGTGGGGATTTACTGCAAGCACGTCTCTGTCGATGACATAGTCCTCGTTATCAAATCCTAGTATATCGTGGATATCCTCAGATTGATGGCCTGTTGAATGAGAAATATTAAAACTGATAAGTACATTATTGTGAAGACTATCGTATGCAGCTGAGATAATGCTAGGGGCAAATTGTGCACAATATGGTTACGATGTCAAACGAACCGTAGAATGTGCAGCAAGATTTCAGCTCGTCGAACGTACCTTTGATCATCTCTATCTGCTCGCTACTGTAATTTACGATTCCTTGACCCAAGTCGGCACCCTTTGGTCCTATAACACTCACCACGCTCTGTTATAGTAGGAAAAAATAGGAGTTATACACCGTACGAAGCCTCCGTAGCAGCTCGCAAGTAGAAAGCAAAAGTGTCACCAGAATCAGTGCAATCACAGCCATACACCGACACGTTGGTTAACCAATTTTACCGCCAAAATATAAACCCCAAATCTAGTTCAATTTTCAAAGGCTATGATCATGTCCTTGAAAAAAAAACAGCGCTTTCTCAAAAGACATACCTCGGTTTCGAAATCACCCTCCACGCTCGTGATACCCGATGGGAATAGATTGCATTTTTTAGCAATGGCCCTCTCCGCACCAGCATCTACGAACACTTTCCCCTTTACCATTGCTCCGTACTGCATATGTGTAATCGAGACAAGCAAATACATAAGTTAACCATGACAGTGTCGCTGTAGCAATGAAATTTAACGAGACCCTTTGACAAAGGTCACCTGGTATCGCCCAAATAGGGTGCTCAAAAATCATAAAGTAGAACGGCTTAACGCAGAATCAAGATAATACTCACCGTTAAAAATCGTTTCTGGACTGTCACTGGGTTGTCTTTAGGCTCAAATAAGGTGCCCTTGTCGCCACCATCCATAATAGTCAAAATGTCTTCGGGTGTACTCGCGTTCGTGATGACACAGTGGCAACCACAGGCGGTAGACATACGGGCTGCGTTCAGTTTCGTGGCCATGCCTCCAGTACCGAATTTTGAGCTCGATCCTTCTGTTACAACTGGTTAAACATGGGATAATATGACAATCGTCAATATCGAATTTAACAGGTACTCGTTCCAACAATTGAAGTCGAACTAAGATAATGTCACAAACAGGGAACCCTATAGTAACAGAAGCACGTTGAAATATTGTATCAAACTTACCTTCCAAGTCACTAAAACTGCTGACTCGTTTCAGACGTTGTGCGTCTGGGTTCGTGTGTGGATTGGTGTCATATAAACCATCGACATCCGTCATGAGGAACAACCAGTCAGCTTCCACCAATGCTGACACCATAGCTGACAAAGAGTCGTTGTCGCCAAATACTAACTCCTGCTAAAGTACGAATCGGCGAGTGTGGATGAAATACTTATGTTAGTAGATTCAAAAACATGAGCGTTGTTTCAAAAACAGACTGCTTACAATCGAAATGGAAATGTTGAAAAAGTTACCAAATCACTTCCAAAATAGATGAGCGCGGACCCTAGATTCACAGTACATAAACTAGAATAAGTACCTCGACTGTCAAAGTATCGTTTTCGTTTAAAATCGGAATGACCCCAAGGTTAAAGAGCTCGGACATCGTGTTCTTAACTCTGTTGAATCTGTATTTCTGTTTGTGGAAAATTTATCCGAGTTTCAATTCGATTGTTCGGTGAAGATGCACAGAAAAGCGGCAACAGATCAAAAAGAATGAAAGTGTGGCTAGAAGAAGCAAAGCAAAACAGACGCAACAGATACTTACATCGGATAGATCCGGTCGGGAGAGCAACACTTGTGCGACCTTGACATTGAAGTACCCAAAAAGGCTATCGTATACAGACATGAGCTTGCCCTGTGTTGAATATACGCGTGTTGCAAGATGTTGAGTAAATTTGTTATAGAAAAATCGACTGAAAGTTCCAAAAGTTAGAGCGGCTTGATAATAAGGACTGGTGCAATTGCAACGCTTCTAATTCTCTGGCCCGAAGTAAGAATTAAATACCTGTCCGATGGCTGCCAAAGCTTGCTTTCCAGCTGTAGACGACGGACGTTCCGTCATACCCATGGTGAGCTGCCCTAGGCCAACAGCACCACTACTTACAAGAACAACATTGTATCCCCGAGTCTACAAGAAGATTCGAAATAAATATGAAAGGGTTAGTTAGTAAGGTGCAAAAAAGTACAGGTTCCGACGAACTGTGTCCGTAAATGTAGCCGTTGAAGAAAATAGAATGCATACCACTGAGTGAACAAATCTTCATTTTGAATAATTTTACCTTCAAATTGCAAATCACATCTACCAAAGCAGATAAAACTTGAAGCTTCACTTGTCCTGTCTCTTCGTTTGCGAGTGACGACGATCCGATCTTAATTACTACTGTTCCGGACTTACCGGTACAGCTATTTCTTCCACTCTGATTCATCTTGTTAATATGCGATCAATTACTTCAAGTGTTTTTTATGTTTATGGTTCAAATGGATAATGACAGGTGTGGACTTAAAGTATAAATATATATATATATTATTCTTTTTTATATTTCGACTAACAGTGTGCGATAAGAAACGAACACCACAATCACAACTCTACAAAATTCTACACGTTACTACCCTACTACTTCTACTATTTATAACTGAATACTTGTTTATTTATCCAAAATTGATGACAAACCTGTATCTGTGGAATTTGCTGAAAGTGTATTTATGGCGGGCGCTTCTCGTGTTACAGATTGACTTTTTTAGCTTTCACGGAATTCGGGCGACAGTGCTTTACACCGAGGGAGCGTCAATACTGCGGCATTTAGTACGGTTTCTATAATCTTGGAGAGGAGAAAAAGACGTTTACTGAATGATAATTTTACGTTTACTGTTCGAGCTACTTTTTTGATATGATTTCAATCGGATTAAGAAATGTCCACATGTGTGACACACAGAGCAACGTTGTTTCCCAAATACGTAGCAACGGAATTGAAAACGTACTGCTGCTTTTAATTTGCGTAATGCGAAAATGTACAAAAAGGCTTTACTGAAAATTATTTCTCTTGAAAATGGATGACAACAAATATTTCCATTCACTGCAGCTGTTTTAATTGGACCATAAACGAAATCTATATTAAATTCTATTTATATATAACTTTAGGGTACAGAGTTTTTAGATGACGGCTTCAAAACGCAACATATTCGAGCCCGATATTCGTTGTATGTTTTAAATATTTTAAAACGTATTAACTACCCGAAGATTGGACTCATGGAGCCCACGGGAGCATATGGAGGCTCCTCCAGAGTCCTTCCCTCCTGGTGCAATAACAACCGTCGCATGCCATGGCAGGCGGTAATCAAGGGACTCATGGCCCCAAAAAAAAACACCCCCATATGTCATGACTCATACTGAATCTTGTGTATGTATTTTAAATTCAAAAGTCTACTGCTGTTCAATTTCCACTTTTTTAGAAGGCTAAACTATGGTCTATGTTACTAAAATAACTTGATAATACTGCACACATGGTATTTGATTTTTTTTATTACTTTTTTACTTTTTGTAATTGAAACAAAATAAAAGGACATAGCAAGGCCTCTTAAAAGCTATTTGGTTGGCAGTACGCTCAAAGCCTTCTAAAAATTACAAAAACAAAGACATAAAAATATGTACAATAAATACAACTATACATTTTTACACACAAATATTATCAAAATTGGATTTACATACAGTACTACTACCAGTAGTTGAGCAATACCAGTTGATTCACCTCTCTCTCACTCTCTTGTGTGATTGGCTCTTATCACAAAATTTACCCACAAGACAATTCTTTTTCAGAAAGACAAGATTCGAACTCGCGATCTTTCCAGATTTTAGACTTTTAACTTCTCTTGTTGTGTGACATATTTGTCCTTTAAAAAAATATTTGACCCGTTAGCGATACCTTGTGGGTTTTTCTATATTTTTGTCATGTACTGTATCGGTTTTTATGTCCTCCTAAAACAGGACAATTATCTTTTGTTTTATATTACATTTATCTTGACCCTAAATCTGGTACAGATAAAACTAATTTCAACCGATGTCGATTTGCAAATCGGTTCTATTTAAAATATATAGAAACGTAAAGCCTCCTCGCACCTCGCGTAGCCAGACTCGTCGCACCCCTTTCACCGAGTACATAACCGCGAGAGTGTACAAACAAAAAGGACTCGCCTCAGCAAATTTCTCTTGAATTTGTACTGCTGATTTTCCCTTTTTTTTTTTTTGTAGAAGTACGATGCCCTATGGTCCTGGGTCCTGGGGCTGGGGGCCGCCTGGCGCTTTGGCCCCATGCCCCATGAAATGGTGCTCATTAATCAGTAATCACGCGTACACAGAAACAGCGCCACATGGCACAGGCCCACAGCCCTGTGCGGAGGAGATGAGCCCACAGCCACGGCCCACAAGGCACAGGCCACAGCTACATAGGGCCACACAGGGCAGTGAGGGCACAGTGAGTTTGGTCGCCTCTTCATCATCTCTTGTGTGGGGACTGGTTTGTCTGGACTCTGACTAGAGTCTAGAGAGAGCCTCCTGAAAATAACGGCCAAACTTGAATCAAATATCTATTTTAAGACTACAATTTTGGGCGCCGAGCACTTTCACATTTTAATAACCAATCGATAAAGGGCAATACTCTTTTAAAAAATTGACAGGGGAAGCCAAAATCTGCCAAATTTAAATTTCCCCGCAGGCGTATAAATCCTATTATGCGTGTATGTATTTAATTATTTTGTCGAATATTCTTGTAGGGTAGGTTCCCTCAACAATGTGTATTGAAAACCCAATAGAAACCCCGCTTAAGAAACACTTGATCATTGGTGTACAAAAAGTGATGACAGCCTACCATGTTGAATATTGTTGTGATTTTTCCCGCGAAATACACACAAGAGAGAGAAGTAAACACGAGGGCGTATTTAAAAATATTTATACCGTTCATACAAATATATTAGGCTAGGGGATAAGTCTCCTGGATTGTGTTATATACAATAGAAAACTAGTATTGGATTGTTATTATGCGTTCTAACCTCATTAATTTTTGTGAATGTGAATGAAGATTTATCAGTAGCGATGCATAGGAAAAAAATTAAAAAACATTGTGTTTATGTATATATGTATGTTTGTATGTATCTGTGTATGTGTGTGAGTGTATGTATGTGTCGATGCGTGTATGTATATGTATTTGCATGTATGTATCTATGTATGTATTTCTGTATTCCTGTATATATACATGTATGTATGTATGTATGCAAATATATATTCATCCATGGATGCA